GAAATACTGGATGTTGATTCCAACCGCCCCCTCCCTGATTGGCACTAGCATTTCAGCAGCTGCCTCTTTTTCCTTCAGTTTTTGATAGAGTCAGTGAGTCCTCCTAGGAGTCTTGAGCCCTAGTCTTGATCCCTAGACCAGCAGCCTGGGCATACCCGAAGGCTTGATAGAAATGCAGAATCTCAGCCGCACCCCAGACCTGCTGAATCCGGTCCCTCGAGGGATTCATACGCACGTCAAAATTTGAGAAGCACTGTTTTCAGGGACCCTATGACACACCTATTTTCAAGGAAAAATATCAGTTACCGCATCGTAAGCCTTCTTATGAGACAAGGAGCCTTTCCCTAGCCGTGGTAGGACGGGGAGTGCCGGTGCTGGGCTGTCAGGGTGTGGTTGGGAAGTGAGGGGCTATTCTGTCCCATTCACAGAGCCAGAACCCTGCCCTGGGAAGAGACGGGGGCGGCTGCGCCCAGATAGGGAGATAACAAAGACTAAAGGAGAAACCAACACAGAGATGTGAAGCTCTGAAAGCGCCCAGGGAAAGGCTGACAGCTTGGCCGCCAGCTCTGTCCTGCAGCCCCAGGTCAAGGAAGCTTTGTGAGCATTCGCTGGCCTGGAGCAGCCAGGATAAATTTAGAAATGATGAAAAGAAACCCTTCTTGATATGGTGAAGAGTCATTTGGTAGGAATGCAGAGGGAAGAGGTCTCTGAGTCAGAGATTATTTAGAGATTATTTCTAGCAAGAGAGGGCCATAGGGCTAGGGAGCCACCTACTCACAAGGCAATGCAGAGGCTGATCCACTTATTACCTGCCTGTGCTGCCTGAATTTAGATGGGAGAATTCTGGGATTCCTCACTGTGGCCGCAGCTTGGGAATGGCACTCAGAGTTTACCCACCTGCTTGTATGAAATAAGCTATAGGAATAATAGGGGACATACGCCGAAACCCCAGCTCTGCTGCTTACTAGCTATGTGACTCTGAGCATCTGTTTTCTCATCTTTAAAGTGGAAGTAAAGATACTTATGCTACATGGCTGAAGTAAGGATGAGCTGAGAAACTTCTTCTCAGGGCACTGAATACAATGTAAATGTTTGTGTCCTCTTAGATTCCTTCCTTGTATAAAGTGAAATTCACAGGGCCCTCCTCCAATGCAGTATTTATTCACCCAACAAATAAATGCTGCTTCCTCCCTCTTTCACCCTAAAGGAACTCGGCGGTCGGAGAGCACCTTTCCCTTTGCAGTACCCTGAGGACCAGAGGCCTGATATGGAGTTGGGTGTCCTCAGTGCAAAGGAATGTTCTGAGAGGCCAGCCAGGCAGCCCAGAAATGTGTTTCCTAATCCTTTCCGGGCCGTTGGTGGGAGATCTCCTGGGAGCATCTTTTCCAAGCGGCACTGCCAGGTCTTAGCTGGGACTGCTGCCTGCTTTGGCACCTCCCTCTGCAGAAGGCTCAGAAGAGAGGCAGGTGCAGGCCCTGGAGCCTCTGAAAGCATCACTGGCTCTAGGAGCAGCTGCTCGGGATAAGCTGACCCCATGACCATTCAGAACTGCCAGTGGGCCGGAAGGAGGAATTGGGAATAGGAGAGACGTAGGGTTCAAAAACACTAGCCCACGCCCGTGAGTCAGATCCCGCTGGTTGTTGGAAAGCTCTTCCGCAGACTGTGCAAACGGGGTAGATTACTAAGCTGAAGGCATAGTTCAGTGACACTGGGCTTCCGGCCTCTTTGTCCCAGCAAGAATCCTTAGGCATTCCATCAAAATTGCCCTCAAAATATTTTTTTGTCCCTAATGAGTTATATTTTTACTGTGAAAAGACAGAGTAGATTCATTTCATGAGGCCTCAGGTGTGTTAGAAATTCACCATTAGTCACTCAGCAAGTCATGACGGAGGGCCTCCTCCACACCAGGTACTAGGACTAACTGGCAAATAAGAGAGACAGGTTCCCTGTCCTCACGGAGCTTACACTCTAGGGTGGACAGACTATAAACAAGTTAATAAACCAACCAGCTCAGTTCAGGCTGTGATTAGTGCACTGAAGGGAACAGCAGATGGAGCATGATGGAAAGTGACCCTTGGTGGAAAGGTGGAGATGGTGGGGAGGAAAGACACCCAGGGAGATAACGTGGCCATGGGAGGCCTTTCGGAGGAGGTGATTTTACATGGAGACCCAAAGGATGAGGATAATCAAGGACCCAGGCACAGGGAACAGCAGGGATGATGCCCTAGGTGGGAAGGGACTTGATTTTAACAACAGAAAGATCAGTCTGTCTGGGACTCTTGAGCAAGGGGAGAACATTATGAATGAAGTCAGAGAGGTCGGTGGCAGCTGGATCATATAAGACCCTATAGGCCACGGTAAGAACTTTGTATTTCTTCCAGTCATAGGGGGTATGATAGGACCTGGGTTGCACTCTTAATGAATAACCTGGTTGTCGTACAGGGAAGGGATTGAAGGAAGAAGGCAAAGACAGGAGCAGGAAGATCTCTTAGGAGGCTATTGCGAAGTCCAAGGGAGAGGTGATGGTGTTTTGATCCAGGTCTTGACAGCAGAGGGAGACATGGTGGTGAATTAAATGTATTGGGGTTGGAGGTGGGGAGGGGAGGGGGGATGAGGGAAAGGAGGGAATCAGGGGTGATTCTAGGTTTGGGGCTTGAGCACTTTGGTAGATGATGGTGCCATTGGTTGAAAGGAGGAAAAACAAGTCTAGAAAGAGAACTCAAGACCAGGCTGGCCTCTTACTAAATTTGTATGTTCTTGTGCCCTCACTGGTGGCTTGAGCAGACCTGAGAACTTTCTCAGTTTTCAGGAGCTGGAAGGGATTTCTCTAGCCTCCAGGCAAGGTAACACCTTAAGTCCAAACAGATGTGGCGCCTTCCCCATGAATGATCTCAGTGAGGGCATCGTACACCCTAGGGGCACTAGGTACACTAGGGGCTTCTAGTAGTTCACTAGAAATCACAACAAGCACAAGTCACACTGTATTTTATGATGTGTGGTCTGTCCAACCCAGAGCTTGTCACTGACAGAGGCACGAGGCCAGATTTGGGGAGACTGTGAGAGTTGCTCTGCATGCTACCACCCTAAACATTCCAAGCCCCTCTAATAACCCTTTTGGAGTCTATCATCCTGTTTCCTCCCATCCTTTCTTGACCTGACTTGTATTTCCAGCCGGTACCACCTCCTGAGTCACCGGTTCCATTTACTGATTTCCCCTTATTTTCTGACTTAATGACTGGAAATGATAAGAATCCCTTATGTATTACTCTCAAACCCCCAAACTGGGGTCATATTACTCTTAGTAATAATGGTTGCTATTTATTAAACACTTACGAGGCAGGGTACACCCACCAAGTACTTGACACACATTATCTCATTTAAGAACGCTAGGAAGTAAGCATGAGAGTTGGAGAGCTCCAGCAAGTTGCCCAAAGTCACCTCGCTAGTGAGAGGTGGGGGCCGGATTTGATCCCAGGTCCTCAGTCTCCAGTGCCAGTGCCGCTGCTCTGGAGGAAGGCAGGCCGAAGTGTTTTGGCCTTTCAAAGGTTGAACACTCACTTTCTGTGGTGGCTAGCCAAGTTTCTCTGTGACTGGGGTAGCTGGGGCAGGTGATGAGGGTTTGGAGTCTTTGGTTTTGAAGCAGTGGGGTGGCAGAGGCCGGAGTGTGTCAGTAACTGCTATTACATTCACTGCAGGAGCGACGGACCCATATCTGGTTCTACAGGATCGACAGTGTGGGCAACGGAAGCTCTGTAGCTACCCAAAGCACTAACGGTGACTTGGGAGAACAGAGAGGTTGTCCCAAATCAGAATATTACAGATATTCCTACTTTATAAAAAGGAGTAACGGGAGGAGCTGAAGGTCTGAGTCTCCTCAACAAAGGTCTTGGAGCACCCGGCTCTGACAGGGTGGTGTCCACGGGCAGCCGCACAGGGCTTCTGCCCGGATGCCTTCTTTCTCACCACTGAGGCGAGACTTGGCTCCATGCCCACTCCCAGCCAGCAATGTCTCCCACCCTCTGGGAGAGGCCTAAATATCCTGGCTGCAGTCTGATCCCGAGATGTCCCCTCATTAATCCAGGGCTGGGGGAGGCCCAGGCTCACCTCTGTTTTTAAATCTCCTAGTAATACTTTAAAAAATGAAGAAATGCAGAACAGGGTCACTAAAAGTTGGCTTGTATTTTTCAATGTTTAAATTAACAAAATAACATCTTTTAACCTAAAAAAGATATATAATTGCACTGGTCACAAGATCATCGTAGGATTTACAAACTAGTCATAATTCAGAGCCCCCTGGAGTGGATGCGACCTGGTCAGTGTGCCCTGTGACCACTGCAAAGGTCCTTTGGAGATAGGGTTGGTAGCTTCTGATGCCTGCTGTGAGTTCCCAGGTTGTGTGACATGAGCAAATGGCCCTCCTGGCTTCCCTGTGACCCTCACTGCCACAGAGAAAGGGAGAACTTCTACTGTTTCTAGGCAAGACTCCCATAAGCCAACTTATCCTCCACGACTTTCTGCCCTTTCTATGAAATAAACCTTTCACATCAGTATCAACTGATTTCAAAAGTCAAAAACGCAAGAGAGGTAGGGAAGCAAGCATTATGGGAGGAAGCAAATGCCTGAGCCATTAGAGGTATGTTATTTCGTTGCTCTCACCCCTGCCCTGGGATGGTGTGAGTATCATTTAACCCATTTGTGTATCAGTTAAACTATTTGTCCAAGGTCACATGGCATATCCAGGATTAGAACCTTTGACTGTAAACCTGAGTTCCTTCCGGTCTTTGAGTCTGACCACACCACGAAGCCACTTGAAGCCCAGGAGGAGACCGGTGAGGCTGAAAGGGACCCTGACAGCCACTCTCCTCCATGCCCTGTGGTGTTGGGGCAAACTTTGACCTTTTTGGATCTTTTCACTGTTTCCTTCACTTCCTGTTTCTTCTCCTGGCTGGTTTGCCCCCGACTCTGCTCCTTGCTTATGATACTTATTTTTCCATCCACAGCAAAACAATTCACATCAAGGTAATTGATGATGAGGCGTATGAGAAAAACAAGAATTTCTTCATTGAGATGATGGGCCCCCGCATGGTGGATATGAGTTTTCAGAAAGGTGTAGTACCCTGTCCTCCACACTAACGTTAACATTCTTCTCTCCTCTTCTCTTTCTTCCTTTCTCCAATCCATTTGTCTCCTTCTCCTCCCCTTTCTTCTACCTCTGTGGTTCACTTCACATTGCTTTCTTTCTTGTTCTCTCTTTTCACCTCTCCCTCTCCTCTCTCCTTTCTCTACTCCCAGCTCTGTCCTAACACCTGCCAGCCTGTCACATGGTATCCGTAAGAGGGATGCTCAAGAGCCAATAATAATCTTTGTGGGATGGGGAAATGAACATGGGCGAAAACAGAGAGATGGGGAGAGAAAGAGAGAATGAGAGAGAGAGAGAGAGCCAGGCAGTGTGCTGAGAGTATGGTATGTGAGGCTCTCTGCTTCTCCTGAATGGTTTAGTATACAGGAAAGAAAAAGACCGGGTAGCTGAACACCAGGCAGGAGGGCAGCACTGGCCAGGCTATCACGTAGATTTCCACAGGGCAGCTATTCTCAGGGCTAATATTACAGTCCCTGGACATTGAGCATCAATGTATTTGGATTTGGGTTCTGTTTATAGTCCATCCTGTTCCCTAAAGCAGACCTTAGGAGCCATCTTGTCTGCCATATCCCCGCTATCAAGGTGTGTTTCTCTCACAGGTTAGAATAGTGGGAGAGAGGATTCTGACCTGAGCAGAAGCTTCCACAAGAAGTCATAGGACTTCTCAGAGTGGATGGAGCCTTTGCCTTCAACTTAAATGACCCCATACACCCCAGGCCTCCAATAGGCAAGTCTGAATAAACGCCCTCTTCTAGAGAGAGCATGCTATAGAGGGGGGAGCTGCCAGTATCTGGGGCAATGTTCCCTCGCTGGCCAAGCCGTCAATCATATCCCTCCAGGCCATGCCCATGGTCTCAGAGCACCCCATTCCCACAGCAGAGTCCCTGCATGGAAACACAGGCCAGGCTCACCTCTTGTAGACAGCCCAGGGTCTAGGACCCAGAGAGAAATTCCCAGAAAATGCTTCTTGACAATCAGTGAGTTTTGTCTTTTGTCCACTGAGCAAGATGTGAAAAGGAGTCCAAAAAAGTGCCAGAAAGGTGACCAAAAATGTACTCGTAAAACACCACATGCACAACACAAATCCACAGCAAGTCTTGTGCCCAAGAAACCACCTCAGGTCAGTCCACCCCTTTATAGACAGCAAAGCTGAGCCTGTCTAAGGAACGGAACAGGAACATCAGAGGCTCTGATGAGACATTTCAGCTATTGTTCTTTAGTACCTCTTTGCCCTTTGGAGAGCTTTTAGGACTAAAAAAAAAGGAGAAAATAATAATCAGGGCTCACTAGTGGGGCCACCGAGCCCACTGTGGTTCCATGAAGGACCGAGGGCAGCCACACAGGGAGATCCAGGCCCACATAGCATCTTCTCCACTGACGGTGGCCCTGAGCCAGCCTCAGGCCAGGCTTCAGAGGGAGTGATTTTCGAGGAAACTTTGCTTCCCTGGATGATTTGTTTTTAAAAGACACTATGCTTCGTTGAGATACCCAGAAATGAACAGAAACCTCCATTGCCTTGTCTCCCAGCCCCTTGATAATCAGCATTTAAGGAAGCCAGCCTTGGGGCACATCACCCCTACGTGATAGAAGTCCAAAGGTGATTTAGAATTGGATGATCTTTACTATTTAGTCCACACTTCCCCAGGAGTGCATCAGCTGTAGATATTAAAGGAGTCCTGTGTGATATTGTGGTTAATACTTATTTATTTTAGTTCCTACCACTGAAGGCTTGTGAGATAAAGAATGAGAAAGAGAATAGAATCCTGGCTTTCTTGCTTTCTCTCTCTCTCTCTTATTTCCCTTCCTCGTAAATACTTTCCTTTTAAAGTTTTCTCATAAAAATTTAAGAAGTGGGTCTAGACACAAAGAAGGGAAACAAGCCCCTAGCTAGGTACCGTTGACATGTTTCCTGTTACAGAAGGGCCCTGGGTCATTCCCAGTGGGCCAGTGGTTTACCAGCTGCCCAAGGAAATGCCACTGTTACCATGTGACACCCAGTGGAATGTGCTGCCCAACTCACTTCGTACTAACCACCAGCAGGATCTAAAATGACTCCTCCCCACCATCACCCCTTCTGCCTTCCCAGTCCCCGCCTGTCCTTCTGGATCCCTTCCTTTGCCCACTTTTCCTTGCCTCCTGGCTCCCTTTCCCTCTCACCCATAAGGACAACTATGACCAAGGAGACCAGCAAAGCTAAGACCATTTCTATATAAGAACAATACAATCCACCGTAGCCCTGCCAAAAGGCACCATGGCGGGACTGGGCTGCATGTGCCAAGAGTGATGGGGAATGATTTTAAAGGCTGTGCTCCAAGTGACCAACCAATCAACCGACCCAGTCGACACACTCTCTCTCTTGTTGTCCCTACAGGAAAACCATAAGGGTTAAGATAGTAGATGAGGAGGAATACGAAAGGCAAGAGAATTTCTTCATTGCCCTTGGTGAACCGAAATGGATGGAACGTGGAATATCAGGTGTGAGATTCTTTAAAAAACAAACCGACGAACAAAATAAAACATCGAAAAGAAAGAAAAGTGTAAACAAACTGAAAAGCAACAACAAAAAGCAACTATGTTTTTTCTCCCTCCTTTTATTCCCTTTTCCTCCTCCTTTTGACCAGCAGACTTTTTATTCTCTTCCCTCCTGTACGCTCAGTCTCACCCTGTTTCGGTTATCGTCTCTGCCTTCTTAGCCTTAGCTTCTTACAAGTCCTCCTTTCCCATCTTCTGGGCGCTGCAGCCTCGACTCCTCATCACCCTAATGAGTTCCACCCTGTGCTCCAACTATCCAATTACCACTGTCCCCTGCACTCTCCCCCACAGCCCACACACACATACACCACAACCTGTAAATGTGGAAATTCCTTGGTGGGTGGGGAGGAGAAGAAAAAGAAAGGAATGTGATGCAATGCATGCCTGTGCCCATCCCTGCCTCCTTCCCCTCCCCACCCCACACTCTCTAGCCTGGGTTGAATGGGGAGGGTCTGGGATGGGGGCTGGGACCCATGTTGCAATGATGCTTTGACAGTTTTCTGCTGCATTCTCCAACCTCTTTTGAGTGCTTGGCAGGTTATACACTTGCAGAGTGGCCCCTAGGCCCCTCTGCCCTTCATGAAGGTAAGTGTTTTTATCTGGCTGTTCGGAGTTGGGTAGACTGTAGCATGGAAAGTCTTACCAATTGTCAGAGGCCACAGCTTCTGAGAGCTCTCTGAGAGAGAGTTGTCTTGTGAGGTAGTCATGCTGTCTGGAATCCTGAACTATTCTTCCTTCCCCTGGCATCCCACCCCATCCCATTCTACCTCTGTTCCTAGCCCAAAGTAGGGCACTTTATTCAGACGACTCTAAGATAATGCAATCTCTAACGCAGAAAATTAAGAGTCTGCCAAAGGAAGAAAGTAATCCAGGTATGGCAATCTCCCTAGCCAGAGGGCCCTGGAAAAGGACTGACATTGGGCATGAGTACTGACTTATGGGTTTTCCAACAGGAGAAGGGACTCTTAAGTGGTATAGCTGGTGTTGATTCCTGAGAAACAGGTGTTGAACGGTTCACAGAAGCCTGCCTTTGCTTTGCATCTGCAAATGAGCCTATCACCCAGATCCCAAGACAACTCTCATCCCACATCAGAGAAGTGGCCTCATTTCCTCCTTTCCTCAGGACATGCATCTTGGAATACCTGCCAGGCTTCCATTCCTAAGGGACTGATTATGTTGCAACCCAAGGTGGATGTAAGGAAAGATTTCTTCCCTTGAAGAAAATAATTGGAAGCCACTACTTTGAAAGTGTTGGAGGAATATATGTGGGAATGAGTAACAGTGCTCTTGGGAAGGAGGAGCATATTCGCACTCCCCTTCAGGAGAGTTATGCTGCTGGGAGCCTCATGGAGGAAGGGACAGTGAGGCTCATCTGCTTGTCAACACGGGGTGATTATTCTCCAACTACTTGATAGTCACATGACAATGAACAGTGTAAAGCCCTTCACTCAAGGACAGATCCAAGAGATTCAGCAACTATACTCCCAAAGGCTCACCAACAGGTCTTCTTCTCAGACCCGTATGATTGATCAGTTCTCATTATCTTCTGGGGACTTTCTCTGCACAGCTGACCAGTTCTGTGCGCACACTGATTTGGACACATGTGGTGTTCTAGAAGCAGAAGCCCTTTCCATCTTACATTACTCATCCTCTCCTTAGCCACGTAATAAGATGCTGCCATGCACCTGACTGCCAAAGAGTGCTGGGAGAAAGAAAAAGTCTCTGGTTTCATTGCTTCCTAGATTGCGTTCCTGCCAATCCTCCAGTTTCAGCTACTGAGAATATTCTCAGAAATTATCTCAACACCTGCCCCACCTCATTCCCAACTCCCTTGTGTGTTGACTCTACATCTTCACGAGTGGTTGGATGCAGCAGACACCTGAGGCCATTGTAAACCAGTTTCATCAGTTTCCACAGTCTCAGCTACTTAGGTGCAAATGAAAGGAGCACAAAGGATCATACAGGGTAGCTGGAAAGAAGGCAGTGGCTCCAGACAAGAAGAATGGGTTGGAAGTCCATCCATGACTTTATTCCATCAGTAAGGAGGCTCTCTTTTCTACCTCCCCAACAAACCCCTATAGCAGGACAGCAAGTGACCTGAGATAAACCTTGTGCTCTTCAACAGACTTGGCCAAACACAAACATCTATAGCTACTCTCCATTTGAGGACCCCTTTTTTCTGCACTAAATTCTCTGTCCAAGGGGATGTTAGGAAAGCCCTGGTAGAGCCTAGCCCAGGGGGAGGGAGTAGGTGAGAAAAACAGGATTTCATCAAGCTATCGGTGTGATATGCCCCCAAATCTTCCCATACCAAGATGCCAAGATAGAAGGTGACAACAGGAAATGTGTCATTTCCTGGCCTGCAGTTCTATTCACTATAGGGTAATTTTCAGTTTCTTCAGCTTGTCCCATATTTTGGCATCAGACCATAAGGTGAAAAGTCATAAAACTTGATTGTCTAGGCTCAAAATCAGAAGAAAATCTATCCTGATTTCCTGAATTCCCTGCTGCTCTTGGAGTGAGAAACTGCAGTGGAAATTGCTTTTCATTATTGTGGCTGCATGGGAGAGTCTTAGGCATTCAGAGCAGAATAGGTTCTGCATGGTCAAAATGGCAATGGCATTACAAAAAATAGTAAAGGACTGGATTTGAAGTAAGAGAGTCTATTCTTGGCAAACAAAACAGACCTCAGAGGTGAAATTAAAATCTCTGGACCCACTGGGGGAGGGAAAAAGAGAGGATGAATAGGCAACACGGTTGCTCTGGAGTAGAGTAAGCACTGGAGTCTAGAAGTGCACTTCTGAGAGCAAAACTGAGCAGCAGAGTCAAAGCTACCTGGCCTGGGCCTGGATACTGGATGCCTCAGGTGGGAAGGGAAAGCACTTTCCCCCAACAATGGGGCCTGTTTGTGCCTTCTTTCCCACATCCGTGGGCTCACCCTGACAAGCTGCCCAGATCTTCCAATTACTCACTGGGCTGTGCTGTGTCCTGCTTGTCCCTGGAATATGTGAGCAGAGACCTATGACTCTGACCTGATGCTGGGGATCAATAAAGGGGAAAGTTCAGCTCCAGCTTCTCTCTTCAGCAGCAGCAGGAAAAACACCCTGGACGTATTATGTCACTCAAAGTTGGCCTACCTGGCTCTTGCTGACCCATCTATAACTGCTAGATGGAAAGTCTCAGATTCACATAGACAGTGACCAGAGATGGTGTGATTTCAGCTGACCGCAAGCCCTTTCGCTGCACTAGGGATGTCTGAGTGAAAACCACGGCAGCAAGGACCTTTTTGGAAGAGCTGCCTCTTATCTGGCCTACCTGTGTACACTGATGTGTTCCAGTCTCTGGTCTCCATTGAAACTTGGGGGCCAGGGATGGGGGCTTTTCCAGTGGGTGGAGATCCATAGAAGGAACAGAATGAGAAAACTCTCTTGCTGTCTCTCTGTCTGTATATCTCTCTATCTCAATGTAGTAAAGAGATCACTGATCCATTATCCCTTGGAATTCGATATGAGAAAACCAAAAAAAGTCAACTGCTGTTCACCCCACTTATATACCATAAGGATTCTGGATCTACATGTGCCTTCAGTGACTGTGAATAAGGAATGATGGGTCACAGGCCTGAGTTGCATTCCTAGAGATTCTTAGAAGAAACAGTTCACAGACACTCCCCTGCCACCAACACACTGTTTCCTCAACATCCTCCATCAGTTGCCCGCTACACCAGGGGTATGTGACAGGATGTTCCCAGACCTTTATTTGACAAGAACCAGGGAGTGAGGGACTGTTGAGATGAAAATGTGGTGTGTCACAAGAATTTTTAATTTTTGGATCTTGAAGTCTAAGAGAGCTAAGCATAAGTACAAATTTAGAGGGCTAGGGACAACCTGTGTTGGGCATATCTTTACCTCAGCTTCCCAGTCCATGTAGGACCTTGTATATGTCATCTTCCATCTGTGTATATCTTTTGATATGACAGTCTCTCCAGAATATCTGGACTCTGATTTAAACTTTCCTTTCTGGAACAAAAAGACTACCATCCAGAGATGCAGCACCACAGGATCTATGAGAAATACAATTGCCAAAATAAGGCAACAAACCTTTATCAAACACCTACTAGTTGCTGTGACTTTACTAGGCACAGGTGATCCAAAACGGTAGGAGTCCATGGCCCCGACCTCCAGGCTGTATCTATAAAAAGACAAACTGTTTCAAGGAAAACATTCTGCAGGACTTACCTTTTCACTAGGTCATTCTTTTAGGGGAACTCAAAGTTCTGGCCAGCATGGCAGCTAGGAGGCCATTTGTGGTCAAATGTTATGGGCACTAGGAAGCTGAGCGTGATCTGATTAGGAGGTTAGGGATAAAGGACATAGAACTGCACACTGCTCCACTCTTGTGCACCATTACTAGTGCCCTGAGATCCTATTCAAGTGCCAGGGTCCTATTCTCCACCGATAAGCCAGCCGCTTTGGCAGGGTTGGAACCCATACAGTTTTCAATGTAACTGGATTCTCACTCCATTACAGAATAGATGTGAGAACCCGATCTCTTAGAAATTCGCAAATGACCAACTCTGTCTCTGCTCCACCCACTTGGTTCCCCCATCCTCATTCCTCTATCCTTAGCCCTCAGAGTTGCAGGGAAGCTGTGGGGAAAACTCTTATTTAACTGCAGGGCCCTGGTGCTCAGCAGCCTCTCAGCGGCTCACACCTCTTGCTGCTGCTGCTGCTGTGCATGCTCCATATGCTGCCTTTTGCATGTCGCTGCAGAGCTCTCACCTACTAAGCTCACTGCTTTCCTTATGCTGCCAGCAACCACAAAGCCTGGGGACACTTTCAAGATGGGACCTTAATGCTCTTTCCTTTTCTTTCTTCCCCTTGTCTGATATCTATTTGCAAACAGCGCTCCTGTTGTCTCCAGGTAAGAGGTGTCTTGCCCTCTCTTTTCTATGTCTTGCCAGTGCCATTACTTACTTTAAGATCAATGTCCTTTGATTTATTAGTAGGAACCATGGGCTTGAGTTAACTTGACAAGTTCTCCCAAGGACTGGGAGATTTATTTCCCTAATCATAATTGAAGTAATCCTAAGGACGTAGACAATTCCTTGAGCACCATTTCTGCCAGTAGATGGGGGTAATGGCATAGCTGGTTTTCTCTGGGACCAGGAAGAGAATTGAAATTTACCAAAGAGATGGTGGGTCGCAGACTTCTCCTGCATCTTAACTCATTGGTCCTCTCATGTTGTGGGGCAAGGAGGGTGAGAGTCAGAACTGAATCTCCTAATAGGATCATGATGGGATTTGAAAGAAAATACTTTGATCTCAAAGAACCCAGGGAAAAATAATCAGGAGCTTCTATGAGAAAGTGGAAAACAATTTTTAAAGACTCTGAAATTTTACTGCTCCTGGAGATCTTCCATCTCATCGCAGCTGAGACCTAAATTGCTAGAACTTTGGTTCGTTTGTCATTGACCCTTGAATTCACATGTGCCATGGACGACAAGAAGAATTAGGATATTATATTGGATGGGGGCAATTTTCTGGCTGGAAATAGAAATTTTAGGGAATTTATTGTAGAGAGATCCTCATGCGGAATCTAGATCCTGTTGTAGGACGTACACCTGCTTTGAGAGTGTGCTTGAATCAGTGGAATCCAATCATAAACAGTGTCCAACTTTGTGAGCAGATAGGAAAACATTTCCATCGTATCTGGCAATACTTCTGTTCTTGGTGCAGGCAGAGTGAGCTATACAAGACATCTCAATATATTTTAAAAGAACATTTTACATTTCATCAGCTCTTTGAACATATAAAAATTTTGAGGTCATTAAAGAAGCAAAGCACCTTATGGAATTCTTTGGTATTCAAAGTTACCTGTAGGCTGCACCTTGGGTTTGAGAAGGGGCAGGATACACAGTAAGGACATTTGCCTCCTTGAAGCCTCAAACAAACAATGTAAACCCCTACATTTTCTCTTTTTGAAAAAAAATTACTCCAGTTTCCTTGGCCTCTTGCTTCCTCCTTATACCAATAGGATAAGGACTATCTCCAACCCCATATATCCTACTATTCTCGCAGAGTATTGATGCTACAGCATCAGGTATTCCTTCTCCACTTCACTCATCCGCTTGCCTGAGAAGGTATTTGGGCTTCTTTGTTCCAACTCTTGACTCCACCCCCTCCCCCCCACCAACCACACATATATACACACAAGAAAGATTGTGATTTAATTTAAGCTTCTTTGTACTTTTAACATATTTGCACGAATGCCAATAGAAGCTAAAAGAGGAAAAGAAGGTGTCATTTCCTGGATCTTTCAATCTGTAAACCTTTAATTTAAGAGCCCTTGGTTAGATTTTAAATTCACTGAAAGTCCCAAATTCTTGTTTGAGTTTTCCTAGGTGGTCAGGCAAACATGATTAACAATGCCTGGTGGTGAAAGATGGAGAGTAAATATATTCATTCTGAGCTACACCACCAAGCTCAGGGACCTGGGAATGAGAGCACTGGCTGCATCTCTCCAATTCTTTCTGAGGATGTCTGTAGAGCATTCACGGCAATCTATTCTTGTCTGGCCTGGCAAGCTCTTTGTTCATCCAATATTTGTTCAATCTTCCATCCTATTCATATTCTCTCTCTGTCTCCCTGCTGTCTCCTCCTTTTCCTAAATCTGAGAGTTTGTTTAGTGAGTCTGAATATGAAGATCACCTGTCCTTTATTCTCTTCCCTTGAAATTCTGAGGAGTTATGTAAATAAGTGATCAAATCTATATGGTCTTTTTGGTTTGAGACTTATACTCTGTCAAGAAATTAACTTAATTTGAATGCAAAGGAATTATCTTTACAAAAATAGAAAACGGCAGGAATTACTACCAAACCAAGACATTAAACCAGAGTTGATTTAAAGGCAAGTGAATAAATCAATTAATAGATAAATAGATAGATATGGAGTATCTCTCAGAGGCTGAGGCAGAGCCAAAGAGAGAAGATTGGTTATTTGTCAAAGAGATTTTTACAGAAAGCTAGATGGAAAGACTGACTGTCACCACAGCGGTGGACAGGTCAGTAGGTAAATCAATATCCTGCCAGATAGATATACTGCTAGATTGATAGCTAGGCAAGGGGTTAGACAGGTACATTTATATGTCACTGGAGAACTCATTATACTGGTATAAAGTTCTTGTGGCACGTGTAAAGTATGACATGGGGGAATCGGGGAGGGAAGAGTGGAATAATACTGTCACTGCTGGATGGGCATTGTGAGTTGGTGCCAAAACCTGCAAGTAGGGGGAAAGAGTACCTGTGCTTTTAAGGAATCTATATGTCTTTTTCCAAGTGCTTTTTCTCAGATTGGCTTGCAGTCTGGCTTCTAGGATCACTGACTTCATAGCCAGATCCCTGGATATGCCCAGATGTACCTTCAGAATTAACTAATAAGAGACTCAGAATCAATGGATTAAATGAAGTCAATCTGCTAGAGGGTATCTGCTTACTTAGAAATATACAGAAGGACACTGATCCTTGAGAAATCATTGTTTCCGAAAGCGGTGACCAACGCCTGCAGGAGGACAGCACCATGGACAGCTCCCAAGCATTTGGGGATTGCCTTCTGTGTTTTGCGCCAGAGCACCGAGTAAAACAGCCAGCTCAGGAATCCTCCGCACACTCTCTTCCTATCTTCATTCAGGCAAACTAAGAAAATCCTCATATAAAATAGATTCTCTTCTTGGTAACTTACACCTTTGGTCTATAGTCTTCCAGTAAATTCCTTTCCTTGCAACCTCAAGAGCTCAAGTCTCCCCCCTCCCCATGCTTCACCAAGTCCCAAGATAGAGAGAAAAGAAGACCTCCTTGGCCTCTCGCCCATTTTGTCCTTGAGATTATCCAAGGACTAGAGGATTCCCCTAGGAGATTCACTGTGAATGAAAGCAATTAAGGAGCCAAATAAAAGAATTAATTGCATGTAAGAATGAGAACTTGGATAGAGAGATGTTTAAATGAGCTCTGAAAGAAACAGGCTGCCAAGAGCAATTTTCTAATCAAAGGAGAATAAAAAGATTCAATCTCTATTTCACTCTAATCCAGAAAACATGTCTTCATGGTGAAGTAGTCTTAAAATGGACTCACCAGCTGAAATGGAAAAAATTTCTAACTGTTCAACAAGAGAACAGACCACCGGTACATGAGTCAAGATGCTGAGGGACACAGGGAATGCCTCAAAAGAAAGTAAAGGAAGAGCTTTATTTTGTTTTGTTTTTGAACAAATATTTGTGTTCCAGAAGAAATGTGCCTGACTCCTGTAGAAATCCTGGGGATCTTTCATTGGAAAATCATGAAGTTTTTTGGGAAATCTTCCAAGTTTCTCATTGTGAGGATAATATTCACTTGTATAAAATGTAGATATTCCTGGAAACATCTCTACTTTCTCCTTTATAGAGAAGATAGTCCAAACAGTGTTAGAAACAGATATTAATGTGAACCAGCAGACCAGAATTCCCTTTGGATTAAAATGTTCTTCCGATCCCCAAGAACTCTTTCATGAAGTAGTTGAACAAACACTCAGGCCCAACAGTTCAGAATGGTTAAAGATCAAAAGATTTGGTTTTTGTTTCCAACTCACCAGTATCTCACCAAATGACTTGGGGACTTTACTTAGTGCTATTTCTCAGAAGGTCTTTGGGTCAGGTTCCTCACCCAGGTATAAACTGGAAAAAGGAATGCTTATCCCAGGCCTTCAAAAAGCCTCTCATGGTCTGATGGTCATAAAATGTCCAGCACTTTACAGAAAGAGGCACTAAAAAATACACAAAGTCTCCATTCCCAAGAGCTATGTGCCCACTGCATGTGCCTAATACTCCGAGCTTTAGACTTCTAGGGAACAGCGAATGTGCTAAAACTAGTCTGATTTTGTTTTGTTGCAGAGATGACAGACAGGAAGCTGACTGTGGAGGAAGAGGAGGCCAAGAGGATAGCAGAAATGGGAAAACCAATATTGGGTGAACACCCCAAACTAGAGGTCATCATTGAAGAGTCCTATGAGTTCAAGGTCAGGCCATAAGTGAGATCTAACAGATAACAGAGTGATGGGGTGGGAAGTAGAAGACCTGGAGTTTTCTTCTAATTTCACCACTGAATATGTGAAGTTGAAATGGAGTGAATCACTTACCCACCCCGACCTCAGTTTCCCCATTTGTAACATGGAACAAATAGTGCCGGTATCCTAGGAATACTGTGAGAAACATAACGTAGTATATGGACTAAATGGGTTATAAAGCCCCTAGATGTATCATCACTATTGTTTAACTGTATTTTTAAAATGAAGATACTAAAATTCACTCCTCCAGGGCGAGGTTTATTGACATTATTACCATTATTCTATATTGTATTACTCTAAATATCCAATGTCAGCAGTCACAACCAAAGAAAAAGGAAATAGAAGGATTATCCCAGAAGACATCACCCAAAACCATTGCGTGCATAACTTTCAGGACCCTCGTGGAGTCCGCTGAAATGCAGGACACCTTTCATTCTCTTGAAGCACCAGATTCTTCAGTGGTTCTGCACATTCTAACCTCATGATTCCAAGTTTTTATCTCCCTGACAGAGTACAGTGGACAAACTGATCAAGAAGACGAACCTGGCCTTGGTTGTGGGGACCCATTCCTGGAAGGACCAGTTCATGGAGGCCATCACTGTCAGTGCAGGTGAGAGTGTCTCAAGGGGGCACAGGCCTTGCTGGGTGAAGCAGACAACACCAGAAAAGGAAAAACACAACCACATCAACAGCCCACCAATTTCTGGGAAGGCCTCTGTGTCCAGTCTTCCCAGCTCTAGTCCTAGATGTTTGCATGTTTCACTGGGCTGCTTTGGAAAAGAATCACGGGGTAACTGAAAAAGTCTGGCTATCTCTGATTTCAAATCCTGGTTCTGTTGTGTAAACTGAAACAGGTTATCCTCTCTGCTTCTCAATTTCCTCAGGCCAAAAGTGAATTATTGCTACCTTCCTCAGCAAAAAAAGTACAAAGGCACAGAATCTGGTACCAAACACTAACTCAATAAATTCTGTTTTCCATCATTCCTTCCTCTCAGTAATTTGATCCTCATTTTCTATAAAATGGGGAACTATTCTGACTTAGAGATGCGGGGCCCAGAGTTGGTAAAATCTTTGCATTGACTTTGACAAACCTCCACCCTGGATGATTCCAAACCTCTCCTTCAGCATTTGTTGACACGTTCCCTCTGTGATGACTCACAGCAAAGCCAGAGTCCCAGAGGCCTGCACACATGTTGGAATGTGAATCGAAATGGTCTCACCAACACCACCAATATTTCCTCTCGGCACCACTGAGGCCTCCTTGTACAGCCGGCCCTGAGCACTACTGGCCTTGTCTCTTTTCATGAGACTTTGTTGTCATAGCAACCCACAGGGTCATATCCCCAGGGCCCCAGAGCCACAGCTAAAGTGCAACCAGGAAGAGAGAGCTGCTGCCATCACTGCCCCACTTTTCACATCGCCGGCTTCAGATATTCCCAGTTCCCCCTCTGATGACCTTATTTTGCCCCTAAAGAGACAATACACAGAATGTAGGCCACATAATCTAACCCCTTCCTTTATCAAATGAGGGAAATAAGGTTCAGAAACAAGAGGTGACTTATCCCAGGTTACAGATTGTCTTCATGGCAAAGCTGCAATGGAACCCAAGGATCGTGACTCCTGCTCTTTGGAAACACAGCTTCCACGGGTTCTATCAAAACATTACAGAGGTTGCCCTTGACAAGGGGCCAGCGTGCCTCAGCACATTCTCTCCTCCTGGACTGCTGAATGGGCAATTCTGCCCATCTTTCCTAGCAAGGACGAATGAGGCCCATGCCTGCTCTGTCCTATGGGATATTTGGAGGATGGCACTGGCTCTTTGGTGTGTCCGCATGATCTGGAATGACAGCCGTCCCTCTGGGATGGATAATGAGCAGAACCACAAGGTTGTTGCAACAGTCACGTCAGAAAAATTAGAGAGGAGCCCCACTGGCATCCAGTAAAGAGTGGACACACAGCTGATTTCACTTTTCTTCGCCTAGGCGAGCAAATGCAGCCTCTCTACCTTCCTCTCTGGTTCCTCTACCGCCTTGGCCCTCTCATCTTCTCCCATTCTCTCTCTTAATCTCTTTCTTCTCTTCTTTATTCCCCGTCCTCTCTCTCTCACTCTCTCTGGGAGCCCTGCATTCAAATTGACCAATGAGGCACCCCTACTCAATTCTCATTTCCCAACTGTTTTCTGGTGCCCTTGCCCTGGCCTACACCAGCTTCCCAAGAGGGAGCTGGAGCCTGCTTCCAGCTGATGAGGTTCGTGATGTGGTTCTAACTTGACCTCCTCATGAATGGGGATCTGACCTCGCTGCCCTTTCCTGGGCCTGTTTCTCTTGCCTCCAGCAGGGGACGAGGATGAGGATGAGTCAGGTGAGGAGAGGCTGCCATCCTGCTTCGACTACGTCATGCACTTCCTAACAGTCTTCTGGAAGGTGCTGTTTGCCTGCGTGCCCCCCACAGAGTACTGCCACGGCTGGGCCTGCTTTGTCGTCTCCATTCTCATCATCGGCATGCTCACAGCCATAATCGGAGACCTGGCCTCCCACTTTGGCTGCACCATCGGCCTCAAGGACTCAGTGACGGCTGTTGTTTTTGTGGCGTTTGGCACCTCTGTGCCAGGTGAGAGTGAGGGGTGCTTGGATTTGCTGAGAGGATATTACCGGGTTCAAGTGACCCCTACAACTTTGCCTTGTTGTCTTCCTTCCCATCTCAGATCTGAGCTTAACAGAACCGCTGCCCCTAAGCTGCACAGTAGTCAATCAGAGAGATTAATGATAATATTAGTAATGATAGCCAACATTTCTTGAGCACTTTTGATGTGTCAAGCACTATGTATGCTAAGCAATTTACATGGGTTACCCCTATTCAAAACCCGATTCGATAGGGACAGTTATTATCCCTACTTGACAGGTGAGGAAACTGAGGCCCACAGAGGTTAAGTTACCTGCCCAACTAAGTGGCCCAATTTCTTTTCTTTTTTTTAATTTTTTTAAAGATTTTATTTTATTTATTTATTTGTTTGTTTTATTTTTCCTTCTTCTCCCCCAAGCCCCCCAGTACATAGTTGTATATTTTAGTTGTGGGTCCTTCTAATTGTGGCGTGTGGGACGCCACAATCAGTGTGGCTTGAAGAGCAGTGCTAGGTCCCCGCCCAGGATGGGAACCAGTGAAACCCTGGGCCACCTCGGAGTGTGCAAACTTAACCCCTTGGCCGTGAGGCAGGGTAATTCAAAGAATATGGAGATTGCTCTCCTTCCGCTTCCCTCTGGCAATCTCTGAGAGGCTAAAGATTAGCCTGCTTGAAGCTGTCACAATGGAAATGCCCACAAGCCTTCTTGGCCTCCTCTGCTTAGGACACCTGTCAGTACAGAATGTCACCCAGGGGGAGAGGCCAAGGAAGCTTAGCAAGTTCTTGTCCTTTCATATGATGTATTACGTATTCTTTTCTTCCTTATAAACACCTAGAGACAAACAGGAACGGGCATGCGTGTATTCATTCATTAGACAAGTATTTACCGAGCCTGGTACGGTCTTGTGCTAGTTGCTGGGGCTATAGTGAGAGGCAAGACAGACATGCTACCCTCTCCACGTGGAGTTTATCATCTAATGACGGAGACTGTACTCAACGACTATAATTAAAATCATCTCTGTAAGTTCTATGAAGAACAAGTGCATGTGCTGTGCAAGTATAAAACGAGGACCTGGGCTGGTTCAGGGATGGCTTCCAAGGGAGGACATACGTAAGCCTGGCCAGGATGACAAGTAGAAGATAGCAGGCAGAGAGGGGCTGCATTAGCTCATGTTCCTTACTTAGTTCACTTAGGGTCTCCAGGGTATCTGAACCCTGAACTCCCGCCAAGGAGCTGACCTCCCAATTGCCGTAGGAAGAAAGAGACAGCATCCTCCTACCAGAGGGTTAGGCTGAATCTCATCAGACAGGACTGTCCTGACTGGACCAAGGAAACGTATCCTGCTGGAAAGTAACTAAATCTACATCACACTCTTGGAAATCCTCTTCCCGAAACCCCAGCAGACCAGTGGGATTATTTATCCATTGGTGTTGCAAGAGGTTTGGATCATGGAAATGCATCGGGTGGTAGGAAATTAGATAGATGATCCGGGGATGATCCAGGTGGAGGAGATGCTCTGTGATCTCTGTTCTCCAGGCCTCAAAGGACCAGAACTATCAGAGGGGAAGGAGCAGATGTGGAGAAAAGGAACAGACGTGGAAAGAAATTGCAGAGGATCAGAGGCAAAATAAAGCAGGATCATAGGCAAGAGATCTTCTCTAGGAGAGCTGAGCAAATTGGCAACAAAGAGACAAAGCAGGCTGAGCCAGGCAGGGAGAGAGCTTGGGGCACTTCCAAGTCCTTGCAATTGGTCCAGGGAATAGCTGGTGACGCTAGGGACTTGAAGAAGGTTATGCTATTGTCCACTCAGCTGACTTTGGTTTGGCTGAAGCTCTTTGGATGGAAGGCGATGGTTTGGAAAGAGCCCTTATATTAGAATTTTAGGGTCAAATCTCCCTAACTTCCCATGTGACCTTGGGCAGATTCCTTGACCCTTATTTTCCTTACCTGTGAAATAAAAAGTTGGGGTAGTTGTCCCCGACAGTCCTTTCAGTCCCTACAATCCGTGCCAACTGCTAACATCAAACCGCCTGCAGGGCCCTGTGCTCCACATACTAACTGCAGAGGCAGAGCTCCGCCTTCCTGGAGTCCACAGCTCCCCACGCACTTCCTCGTCATAGTTCCCCAGCGCGTCTTCTGTCCCCGTAAATCGAGCATCTCGCTCAGTGTTGAGCACACAGGCATCGTTCAATAACTATGTTAAGTGAGTACATGCCTCGTGTGACAGTTACAATCAGGCATCTACTCTAAGCAGCTTCCCAGGATGTCAAGGTTCCCTGGGAAGATATAATGGAACAGCAAACTCCCCTTACTGAAAAGTAGCCAAAGGGAACAATAAACCCACTCGGTAAAGACCAGGACCAGAAAGATCCTGTGAAATCTTTCAGACCTAGCAGATGAGGAATGTGAAGCCCAGAGAAGTGAGGTGACTTGTTCAAGGCCATGTAACTTGTTAATGGCAGAGCTTGGGGTAGCCCCCAAGCGCGTTTCTCTTTCCTGGGCTCAGCCAACTGTCGTCAGCTGCCTTTTGGACATACTCAAAGGTGGGCCCTCTACTTTTCAGCCTCCCATCAGCTCCCATTTGTCTCTGCCCTTTTCCAGATACGTTTGCCAGCAAAGCTGCAGCCATCCAGGACGTGTACGCAGACGCCTCCATTGGCAACGTCACAGGCAGCAATGCCGTCAACGTCTTCCTAGGCATTGGCCTGGCCTGGTCCGTGGCCGCCATCTACTGGGCCCTGCAGGGACAGGAGTTCCACGTGTCAGCCGGCACGCTGGCCTTCTCGGTCACTCTCTTCACCATCTTTGCGTTTGTCTGCATCAGTGTGCTCCTGTACCGCCGGCGGCCCCACCTGGGTGGGGAGCTCGGTGGCCCTCGTGGCTGCAAGCTTGCCACGACTTGGCTCTTTGTGAGCCTGTGGCTCCTCTACATACTCTTTGCCACACTGGAGGCCTACTGCTACATCAAGGGGTTCTGAGCCACAGGACAAGGCCTCTAGCAGGACAAGCCTAGGACTTCTTCTAAAAGAAGGGCACCTCCCCACCAGTGACCTCTCTGGGATGAGCAGCCCTGGAGAGGCAGCATCAGGACCCGAGCCCCAGGAACTTCACCCGACCTAGGCCCTGGCAGTGAACTGAAAGGGCAGAGTCTTAATCAATCCAACAGAATGGAGGAAACACCCACTTTACAAAGTATTTAATTCAATACAAGCCAACAACAGCAACAAACCCACCTCCACCCCATCTTCCCATCCATGTCCCTGACCCATAGCAAAGGTCAGACCCTTTCACCATCTTCTATTCCACCTTCTTCTGATTATTCCTTTGCTTCTACTTTGCTTGGGGGCAGGGTTTCTCCTGTCTGTCCAGTTCAATACATCACCATTCTCTCACTCAGCTGGTGAAGTGTGAAAATGAGTCACATCCATGTGGCTGGTTTGGGGTTCTCTTTCCTTGTAATCATTGTTGTGGTTGCTTTAATTTTTCCATCAGGTTTTGCTCATTGTTTTTTTGTTCATTTCGTCTTTTCTTTCTGAAGTTAGTGACAAAGGTGCTGGGAAGGATGTTCAAGATCTGAGCCGACGGATAGAGGGATGAATTTTCAGACACACACCTGCCAACTCTCGCTGGGTAACAGCTGTCTCTTGGCTCCATTGAGGTCTCGTCCCCCATCTCCTTTTTTTTTTCCTGAGTTCTTGAGAGGGCTGATGGCATTCGAGTGGAAGTAGGTTTGCACACCCACTCGGGGCGCTAAAGAAGGGGCGAGGCAGGGGTACTGTGGCTGTAGCAGGAGGAGCTTTGTATGCTTATGTCAACACCAAATTGAAACAAAAAGTCATTATTCTCTTCTCTGCCCAAGCCTTTCAAAGAGTGTCTGTCTCCTTGTGTCAATGTCTATATGTTTATCCTTCTGCAGGAAGACCCACCAAGCAGGAGATACAGGGCAAAACGAGAATGGTGTGTGATGACAAAGGACAGCTGGGGAAACAAAAGAGATGTATGCCTTCTTGACTGTCTTTGGCTTTGTATCTGAGGCAGGAGAGAAGAGATGCTCACCCAGTGAGATCTTCAAGGGAAAGATGATATTTAAAATGTCAGTGCTTCTGAGAAATGTCATCTTTACCAACCCCTCACCTTCTAATGTACCAGACTAAGAAGGCTGACTATATTTCTTGAGGCAATGCAAAAACTTAGAGGTTTATGGGAAAACAAGGGGCTCCTTCCACGTCTCCTGAGCCCTCAGGTCACTTTGAAAGCATTTTCACAAGATAGGAACTGGAATTGCTCATCTCTTCCACATTCCTGCTTGTTTTTAAACCTTATGAAGCTCTTTCTCCAGCCTGTGGGCTATTTCTTGCCCCAGTAAAATGAATCTTTGTTGCCATAATCCCATGGAGCCTAGGTTTGTAGAAAAACAGATTGCTGCGCCCTACAGACATTTTCTGAACAAATTTTGAAAGGACCTGGCTTTAAAACGTACACACACAATAAACACACATACGAAATCACCACCAAACTGCCCACAGATCTTTAGGCTTTCTGCATTGACATAAATACATTTTTTAAGGGGAAAAAAGAAATTAAAAAACACCTGTTTAATTTTAAACACATTTTTTAAGAAAAAATTACTAAAAAAGAAACAGTGCTCATGTCATAAGCTATGTTGACAGTTGCCAGTGGAAATGTTGGGTTGGTTTAAAAAAAAATAAAAGCTATACTTATATCTCTCTAAAAAAAGCTTGCTTCTCCCCATGTTTCTTCAGGAAAAGGTCCAGGGGGCCACCTGGGTTTCTTCTGGAGCAAATGTGGTTGAGGGAAAGGTGTTGTCTCCTATTTGTATCTGCTGTTTGCATCTGTCATCTCCTCAGATGCCAGTGTGCCAGACCCAGTATTTTTAAAGCAAAAATGCTTCAGGGAAATGCCACCTGTCAAAATGTGGACTTCAGGATGCTGGAAGACATAAGCAGTTGAGCTGGATGATTAAAGTGAAGGAGCTTTTTGTATTAGAAAGGCACAGTGGGGCAGAATTCCAGCGAGGCAAACAGTGCCCTGTATTTATTACCAATGGGCATACTCATTTACTCATCATTCATTCAACAAGTGTATTTGAATACCTTCTATGAACTGAGCTACATTCTGGTGATACAACAAAGAGTAGCATATAGTTCCAGACCTCAAGAAACTCACAGTCCAGAGGAGGAGGTAAAACTTCTTTTAACCAAGGCTCTTTTGGTTACAAGAAACAGAAACCCATTAAACTAGTTCAAGAAACTAGGGGGGCCATACTGCAAAGGCCTGGTGGGGGGCTCTTGTGGAACCCAAGGTAGGAGGCCAGAAGAGCCTGAAAGCCCTCAGGAACCGAGGCCACTCTCCATCTCCTCAAAACCTCATGGTCTTCCCCATCCTTGCTTCCTTCTCCCTGTCTGGCCTATCCACTTCCTCTCCCTCCCAAGGTGCTTCCTCTGCTTTGCTTGTCTTGCACATGGCCCAGCACGGCCACCAGCCCTGACACTATATCATGACCTCACAGCATCCTCCCCACAACTAACTGGGACGTACCTTTTTTTCTCTAAGTGAAAATTCTCAATGGAGAGAATGTGGCTAATTCACCATCCCCAAAGGGCCATTTCCAAAAGGCAGAATCCTTTGTAGAAAGCTGTGTCATGGGGGTTGGGGAGCCTGTGAATTGGTTGCTTTGTGTTAGGTGTCCACTCCTGGTCAAAACAACTCAGGTAAGGAGAAGAGAGTGGTGAGCACATTGTATGTACTGTTGCCCTTTCCAAAAGCTAGGTGTTAGGAAAGAGCCTGTGAAGCATATGAAGCACCAAGGTGAAAATAAAAATTACAGTTCTATGCCATGAGTGCTCTGAGAGTGGCACAGACAGACCACCATGGGAGTTCACTGGAAAGAAACACTAACTCAGCCTAGAAGAACCGAGGAGGACTTCAACAGAGAACGCAACATTTAGGTAGACTCTTGAAGGAAGAATCAATAATGTTTTACCTTGGTGAGGGGGCTTGGCATTGAAGGACAAAGAGAAACGGTGTGTTCAAAGGCACGGGTGAAACAAGATAGGGCACGGTCATGGAATAACAGTGGTTGGCATGGCTGGAGTAGAGCATTCAAGGAAACACAGAACAACCCAAAAAGCAAATAGGGAGAAGGGTTTGACTCAAAGGCTCATTCAGTTTTTTGCCAGCCACTAGACTGAAAACAAAAAAGGCCCTTTAGCTTATTAAATGGTAGAGCAAAATTATGAAATCCATTTGTACCCATCTCTTCCCTTTTTTGAGTCATTTCTGGGTTATCCAGATGTTAGGCTTTATTAAGAGTGAAGCTGGGATGAACCACAGAGGATGGGGAAGAGGATTGAGGAGAGGAGGCTGGGAATCTGAAGACCTGGATTCTAGTCTAGATGCTACCACCAACTGGTTCTGTGGCCTTGAATCAGTCCATCTCTTCTCTGGACCAGTTTCCTGAACTACAAATAAGGTTTTAATAGATGGCCTCTGAAGCCCATTACTTCTGGGATTCTAAACATATGTATACAAAACTCTGTGTGTGTGTGTAATCAAACTGCCTGTCAACCATATATGACCGAGCGTTGCAGACATCTTTCTACAGTTCCTTGGCCCTGTGGCCTATGTATTAGTCAGTGTGAAAAAGGCATTGTCAGCCACTGTGCACATGTTCATTTTCAACACTTTTTACTGACTAAGCCACAACGTTCCCATCCCCTTGACTCATTTATTACTTAGCATAATGTTAGCTGCTGTAATAAATAAACCCCAATATTTCAGTGGCTTAGCAAAATGAAAGTTTATTTCTCACTCATATAATAATCCAGTGAGGATATTCCTGGTCAGCAGGTGGCTTTCTTCCACATGATGATTCAGAACTTCCATTTCCTTCTATTTTGTGATTCTGCCACTCTCTGAGGCCTTGGAGCAGCAGATGGGAAGGAAATTAGAGAAGGCACACAGACTTCTAACTGCCTACTCTGAAGCGATAGCCATCACTTCTGCTCATATTCCATCAGTACAGGGTAGTGGCTTTCACCCACCCAAATGCAAAGGAGACTATGAAATATAGTCCTGGCTGGGCAGCCACTTTCCAGTGACCGCTCTATCCCACAAAAGGATGAAATTTTTATGAATGTCTGCCTCTGCTGCAATCCCTCTGTGATTAAAGATAGATATTTTTAGTATCGTTGGCCAAGAGCAATCTGATCTTTGTCTATGCTGAGTTTTATGGTTTACAAAAACCTTTCATCCACATGTGTTTGAGTTGGACAAGAACCACAGAGGTAGATATTATTCCCATTTGATCAATGAAGTTCCGAAAGGTTAAACATTAGCCCAGGAGTACACAGTAAGAGGCAGGACACAAACACAAGTTTTCCGGTTCCAAATCTAAGCTTTTCCAAGAATGGCATGGTCTCTTTTCACAAAACCAAAACAAAGAAGACTCCAGGAGTCTGATCTCGCCAGTGAGAGAGCCCCTCAGAGGCAGCCAGGGCCCAGGAGGGAAGGCAGAAGCCAGCTAGCCACTGGTCCTCTCATCCTCCTTCGGTTTCCTCTCCTCCCCTTTGTCTCCATCCTCACTGAGCAAGGAGCTTCCTCTAGGGGCAGCTGAGTGGACTGATGTTCCAGCAAGAGCCAAACTGGTGGAAATTTCCAAAAGGGAAATTTCACTGTGATGAAGTGATTTGTCCTGAGGAGTCTAAGTACAATTAATGTTGGAGAGTTACCTGGTCCCAGAGATTGGGTGATTCAAAACACTTCTTGGGAAAGGGTATCCAAAAATGATTCCTGGAAAACTGCCCTGGAAGGCATGTCATGTGACATTTAGGACGTTTTCAGAAAAGGACAGGGAAGTCCAACTGTCTCTAAGAAATGAGATTAGGCTTTGCTCATAAACTCGAAGGAGATTCATCATTCTTCCTTAGAAATCTGGAAAGGAGGTGACCCTGGGTAAACTATTTTGGTTCCTCAAAATCCTTAGATTCTGATTTATAATCTTAGTCCTTTCTGCCATGTCTCAGGTTCTTCCCAACTTCTACATCAGTGGAAACAAAATAGGAGCTGGCTGTCACTCTGTTGCTCCCCAATCATCTTTATTGTAACTGCACAGCACATGAATGGGATTGCTTCCACGATGCGTGATAACAGTTCACTCTTCTGCTATGATCAGCGACTCTGGCTGGTCTTTGTTCAATCCATTTCTCTTTCCATGAGTGTGGGGCAGAAGTTAAAGCCTGGTGGCCTGCAGGCTTGATGTGTTTGACCAATGAAGTGTTTTTTTAAAAAAAATAGAATAATTGTCAATGTTTTAAAACTGAATAATTTTGTGTAAAAATATGGATTTCAGCTTCTCTGGCCACACTGGGTGGGCATTCCCATGTAGCAACAATCCAATGGAGTTGATGAGTGGCCACCCCGTGTAGACAGGGTTTACGCTTTCACCAGAGTCCCTCCCTGGCCCACCTCTCTCACTCACATGACCCTCCTGGTCCCTGTAAACATTTGTGCCTGTGACACCTGTAGGGGATCAAGGCTTGATGTTTTGCATTTTTGGCCTTTCACGTGTTGGTGCTAATCTCTAGTTTTCTGTGGGGTTTGAATCCCAGTTGCACCATTTTTACCTTTTGTGGGATTTTAAACAATTCACTTTAACCTCCCTGAGCTTCAGTTTCTCCAATTCAAACATACAGTTGTTGCAAAGGTTAAATGAAACATTTTCAAGGCAATTACCATAGTGCCATATACGTAGCAGGCATCCTGGAAATGTTCCTTTCACCTCACATTGAGGGCTTGTGGTAAAATCCCTTACAAGTTGTGCCATCAGAGTCTGAAATGTTTGAGAGGCCTGTCACTGTTCCAGTGGGGTAGACAGATGGCCTCAGGCCACCACATCAACATGCCATCCCTCCATATGTTGGACCAGGCAGGCTTCATAGAAGTGGAGAAAAGCTCTTCACAGTCTTGCTTCCATAGTAGGACCGAGCCTCAAGCCCCTGGGCCTGCATGGGGCACAGAGGTTAAGACTTGGAGGGATGGCCAATGAGCACCAGGACCCCCAAGTCAGGCAGGCCCCTTGGCACAGTCGAGAAGTGAGACAGATACGTTTGGTATCAAAGAAGGGGTGACACAGGAAGAGGTGACAGGCCATACAGAGTCTTCCATGCTAATAAGTAAGGTGGGTTATGGTAGGCAGAAATCCCTGTGGGCTTGCAGAAGGAGGCGAAGCCTTGGGAGAAGCTATGTAGTCTGTCCAAGGTCATCCCACAAGTAAGTGGCAGAGCGGGAATTAACCTCCTAGGTCTACCAGATTTCAAAGTGACTGCTCAGTATCTTCATATGCACCCGTTGGGTATGTCAGACAGGCATTGTTTACTTTCATAGTATTGATGAAGAAAGTGCAGAGCACAAATAGGATGACTTATCTTCTTTCCCCAGAACTTTCCTGGTTTTAGCACTGAAATTCCCATGTCCTAGGAGACCCCTCAGTCCTGGGAAACTAAGATGGTTGATTGCCCTAAAATATTATGACTGTCTTACACAGTAATACTTACTACAGTGCCACTACTACTAGTAAATGGCAGTCTCTATACATGCACCTTCTGCTACGTCATGCTGTCATCTTTTACCAACCATTTCATGTCTCATTACTCTCATCCAGCACCTCAGCAGCTGGATGAGATTCTTCATCTGGTGGGGTGACCCAACTCTCATTCCCACAAAATTGGAGTTCTTGCTGTGATGCTCCACTTTTTCATTGATCCCTTTCAGGCAAGGGAGTATGAAAAGGCATCCCTGATGAATCATCAGGTCCCAAACACAGTCCTTCTTACTCTCATTGTGTAGCAGCCACCAATTCCCTCTAACTAATAGGATAATCACCCACTCAGTTCACTGATCTCCTCTTCTGCCTGCTGGTTTATTGGCATGAAGAACCCAAAATGGCTAGGAGTCAGGCTCAGCTTCCAAGTCATCAGAACCATAACCATGTTCCTAGTGGAAGAATTTCTCCCTTGGGCATTAGGACTTCCAAACTTACTGAGCTCAGGGTTGTAGGGACAGAAAACAAAATTCTTCAAGAAGATTATTAGACATAATAATGAGAGGGATCACCCCACCACCATCCCTTGGTCCTCAGACCTATGCATTCTGTGTAGGGGCTGTCAGCACTATATATACTGGTCCCAATTTAAAGCATACACTGCATTCAGTAGGATAGCATCCCAACCTCACAAGGTATTATCTCCTAACTGGTGCTGTAATTGGGCCTGCAACAGGTCATTCCAAGATTATGTCAAACCAACCACCTTTGAGTGATGGGAAATACGCTAAGATGAATGCCTCTGATTGGAGGCCATGTTAAAAAAGATACGATGGCAATGGATAAGGCACTCTGAAGTCCATGCATGGAAATGTTAGCAGAAACACTACAGACCAATCCAAACCCTGAATTTGTGTCCATCTCGTGTGAAGAATAACTGCTACCGCCTTCACGATGGGAACACCCCAATCTAATCAACCTAATACCAAGTGATAGCTGATCTTCCTGGGAGGCAGTACCATATTAAGGGTTCATCAGTTGCCTCTGCTATTAACAGGTTGTCCACTTACCAGATGAGCCTCGGTGAGAGGACCCATATTATTGAGCTCGAGCACAGCCTCCGTCCCTGTTGCCAGGGCCATTCTGTACATGGGTCCATTGAATAAGCATCAGAGTAGCTGGAGAAAGATGCCAACTAAGATCTACAGCATGAGTCATCATCTGATTATTAAGAGCCTCCACCATCATGATTACTATCATGTAGGCATTTATATAGGACACTAATATTTTCACACTGGGGGCTTCATTCAAGAAGTCCATACATACATATCCTCCCCAAACTTCCTTGTCATCAATTAGCTTCCTTTCAAAGCCTCAATGAGCCAGTCACTCCTTATCCACTGCACATTACTCAGTGTAGATCCATAATTCAGGCCAAAGTGGACAAGCAGATGTACTTCCTGAAGTTCTGCCCCCGGGAGGATTTCCATCCAGTCTTTGAGGGCCACCCCCGTGGGGCCATAGCATGGCGCTGTCCACCTCTGGCTGGTGCTGGCACGCTGTGCAGATCCATCCCTGAATTAGGTTCGTGCTTTTTCCTCATTTATTAACTGGTCACGGAGAATTCTCTGTGAAGCCATAGTGTGGTTGAAGGAGAGGCAGCAAAGCTGTAGGTACAGTTACCACGGGAGTCTAAGTCGTCTGTACTGATGCCTTCTTGACCTGACTAGCCTGGATTTCATATCTATCTCTTTCACTTTACAATGGAATGCTGCTTTGCAAGTCCACTTTTATAGTTTTCTGGGTAAGGCACCCAGCTCTACATGAATAGTTTAAGTTGCATGTTCTTGGTTTCATTCCTTCCTGACCTGTGTGCTTAAGAGACATAATGGAGTTGAGTATTTAATTGATGCTGCATCTTGGGCTTGGTCCATATCCTCCCAGTGGCTACAGGAGAGAGGGACTCCTTTAAAGTTTCCTGGAAGGACTTCCAGTTGTCCACATGCATATTCACAGCTTTTAATTTGTCTTTTTCCCCATGTGTGGTCCCTAAGGCCATACGAAGAATCAGGTGACTCCACAATTTTTATAATCACTGTTTTAAGTGCTAGAACCACTTGATCTCCCAACACTTTGCCCTCTGCTTTATTCCACGCCACCTTCAGTAATGATTTGGGTAATTATGATGCGACCGTCTACCATGAACTACCTGTGTCCCATTTGCACTCATCAAGGAAG